AAGTCGGAGCTGACACGTACAAGCAACTTGTCCAGGCTAAAGCGAATCTGAGGCGCAAGCTGGCAGAAGTCCATGGAGACCTTGAGATATGCCTTGCGGGTCTCGTACACGGCGAACGCTTCCTCTCTGATAGCAGACGGCTCCTTTGTCTTTGACTGGCTCATGTACCGAGCCATGGCTTGATCAAAGTTCCTCTGAGTATGGTCCAGAACTCTCCTGACTTCCTTGAAAGAGCGCAGGTCGGCGGCGACGAAGGAGCGGATGGGGTCAACAGATATGGTGTCCATTTTCCGCACTGTTGACATAATCTGAGTCCACCATTCCTTTGAGCCATCGCTTATCCGGCGCAGAGCGAGAAGAGTGTAGTCGTGATCGACGATGGCATCGGCGGTCGCGGCGGGTGGGAAGATCTTGGACAGGTAGGTGTTGACGCTTTCTTCGAGGGCTAGGATGTCACGGGTGACGCGAGACGTAGACCTGACATAGTCGTCAAGCCATTTCTCGACATTGTCGATGTGCTCTCCGAAGTGCTGCGCAGTGGATCGGAAGGTAGGAGAATCGAGGGATGCCTCGTTGAGGCCGACGGGAATCGCAGGACTTGTTTGCTTTTGCGCCGTTGTTGCAGCAGCAGCCAAAGCGACAGACGCCGCGGGCTCAGCCATCGTATGTGCAAGGATCGACGATGGTCGTCGACGTCGTCGGAACGACTTGGGAGTCGTTGGTTCGGTCGGTCGGTCAAAGATATATCATCTGTGTCTATGATGGGCGCTATGCATGCTCTACAGGTCCGGAAGGTAGGATTTCTTGTGTATTGGAGCGGAAGAATGCTGTGTCGCGAGTGGAAGTTGTAATGACGTCGGCGAAAGCCGCATTTGGGGAGTGCCACGGGTACAAGTTTTGGGAGGTGTGCTGTCAAAGTCAAGCCTCGCCTCGTCGTCTGGAAAATAGGCTGAGGCCCGGCGGTGGGGGAGCCAATGAAACCACTTTCGCTTCGCGCTTTAGCGTCCGCGTATACTGAGCAGTCCACTGTAGATTCGGCCGAGACCACCCCGCGATTCACTGAGACCAACCGCTAACGAGATTACCTCAGGCGGGGGGGCTCACGGGGCCTTACAAGTTAGGTAATAAGGTAAGGTGCCTACTTGGAGCCTTCGGAGGAACGGGAAGGCAGTTAAGCTCAGCCCAACTTTCCTTTTACGGAAAAGAAATGGCCCAAGCTCCCCAAGGCGCGGAGTGCGTGCTCCTTCCCTCAATATTCCATGCCATTGACGGCCACTTCGTTCCTTCTATTCTACGGAGTACTGCATACCTACCCGTACCTATCCTTCTTCCATGGGGAATTTGGAGACAGCAACCCATGGAACCTTTGGCTTTTCTCCAGGTCTCCGCCACTCTCCTGCAAAGTCTTGTCCATCGTCGTACGAATAAACAAGCTTCAAACAGGGTTTGCGCCCTCCAAAGTCTCAATGCGATGCGTCTCGCATTGGCCAAAGAAGAAGAAGAACAGTCTTTGCGGAAGTCGGCATCAGCCATGGCAACATCAAACATCATACCTAACACCCAACGAACTTATAGTTCACTTCATTCCTTACAGGCCACTTGGCATACAGAAGCTGAAGCAGACTTCATACGCCCGTCCGCCTCCATTATAGCCCGACAGACGAACGACTCAGGTCTGGCTTATGCTCGAATCGTCAAGTAGACAAGTTTTCTCTCAACGACAGGCTCATGCTTGGGTAATGTGTCGCCGGTTTCCTGCACCCACTCGACGTCTGCCGCCCACCACGCTTGCAACCACACCAATCCCCGGATTATCTGCCGCGAGCGAACCTGGGCCATCTGGAGTACAGCTTATCCATTTGCCGTCGAGATCGAGTCATGGACGCAAGGACGCGACATGTCAATAGCTGTCGTCACATATCTGACAAGGAGACAGCTGCCTCGCAAAGCTCAACGAACTTAACCGGACCTCGCCATAGCTTGCCGTGCAGACTGCACACGCATCTGCCCCGTCAAAATTACTCGAGCTTCTCTGTTCGAAACACGGGGCTATCACGACTGGCCGGGACGTCGTCGTTGCTACGACACGCATCCACGACAAGATTACAGTCCCTAGCCTAATCCCTATCCTATCCTATCCTGGCACCCCAGACACTGGTTCGTTTCTGCAACGGGCTCGACTGAGTGGACTTTGTAGTGAAACAATGTTCCATCATCGGCGGGTGGGAGGAAACAACCATAATGGCATCATGTTGGCCACAAATGGAATGGATTGTCCCGTCGCCTACACTGGCACACTGGTCCCATTCGGAGCCGCGTGGCTGTCGACTCCGGACTGGACTGCTGGTGTCCTGTGCCCTTGTGGAGGTGGAGGGTCAGATCAATGCTAAAATCTCGGTCATGAGCGAGTCAACGTCGCCGTTTTTTTGCTCTCCCGCGGGCAGCACAGCCCCTCAGCCCCTCCCGTGTGGCATTTTCATGCACCACCGACGCTCGCCGCCCACTGACAAGCAATCGGCTTGAAGCGATCAGCGGGTCTTCTGCATTGGTAGCAGCACATTTCAGCTGCTCAAGGGGCGCAATGTACTCGCCCACGGGCCCCCCTTATTCGGTCTCTCGTTCAGGTACTGTGTAATAGGTCCCCTGAGTTCTGCGTCTAGTATGTACTAACAGACTGCTTTCCAGTAACTCACATGCTCCTTCTGTCGGCTTTGCCGGGGACCTCGCATTCCTCACGTTGCATTGGGTATTTCCAACGCCTTCGTCAACTCAACCTCTCCCTCCTTCACCAGCCTCCCGGTTCCTGCGCCACACGCGGATCTCTCAGGGCGGGGGAGCACTCGCCGCACCGTTTCTCCTCAGACCGGCAGTCCCTGTTCTTTTTTTGGATACACGCACTTTCGGAACCTCGAGATCTGGGGAAATCCCATGGAGGACGATCGTCAATTTTCAGGGTTGCCAAATTTTCACCTCACCTCACGAGACAGCTACGCAATCGAACTGATCTCGCGTTGACGTGTACGAATACGTCTTCATGTCTTGCTCGCCAGTACATCAGCTGGTGATGATACGTGAGCAAAATACGGCAGCTGTCGATACCCATCCTCCACTTAGGCACGGGCACAATAGCTGGTGGCGACTATTGGCACAATCCCCGTTGGCTTCAAGACCAGGCATGCCTTGCGCAGGAAACCTGTCCAAAACGAACCGTCCCGCTCACCTGTGGTATTGAGCTCAAGGCTCAAGCTTGCCATGCTATTTTCGATCCAGCCTGAATCACTAGACAGATCCATGGATGTTTGCAAGATTTTCACTCAAGCGAATGTCGTCCCACTGGCGTCCGACGACAAATGATGCAGTAGGGATTGCCCTGAAGAAGGGCAGTTACATGCACAGCAATGTGCAATGGAAACGAATAGCAGACGAAATATGCCTTTCTGCAGGAGGTTGATACCGTCTCTGAACATTCAACTTATTTTCCCGTGCTCCGCCAAAGCCATAGGATCTCCTCCCGCACGACCGTGCGGCAAAGCAAGATTTGCGGGTCGCCGGCCCAGCCACTGGGGTAGGGATCTGCCGTTGAGTGTGGCGACACCAGAAACAACACAGCCTGTGAAGCTTGGCTTGGTGCTACCTTGGATGAAAATTCCGGGTCCGAAACCCCCTTCTCTTGGATGACGGGCTACTGAAATGTCCTGTATGGATTGCAATAGCCTTGAAAAAGACAGGTTCTACACTCGCCGGTGGGAAACTCCATGTGACTCAGGTCAAGTGACGACAGTAGCGGTCACAAGCAGCCAACGGGTACTGGCTGGTGTCAAACCAGCCACCCGAGGTGCGGCAAACAACGGCGGAGCCGCCTGCATCGACGACAGGCGAAGGCCGCGGGGGCCAAAAATAGGTAGTCAGCAGACCTATCCGTACCTACAACTTGCCGCGACGGCACAGAAGCCGACTTCTGCCGACTTTGCTACGAGAGAGACTCCACTGCGTCCGCTTGTTCGACTCCACGATGGCCCGTTCTGTTGCCTTCTGCCGCGTCTATGGCCGGACAGCCGCCGCTCTCTCACTGTTCTCAGACTCCCAAGCGAGCATTCACATCCGTCTAGGGTGTCATTGCAAATCCACACTGTCTCTCCCTGCGATGCCGACACCGGGTCGCAGTACAGCCAGCTTCCGCCTGTATGAGAATGTAGAATTTGGCAGGGAACCACGTATTCGGATCTGTTTGCAAACGAATCCATTTTGCCACAATACCAATATGTCATGGTTCAATATTCCGTTCACAACGACATGGTACCCAGGTTTTTTGCTTGCTTTCTGGACATGTCTCCGGGCGATTACCCCCTTGTTTGAGTCAACAGCAACTGGTTAGGCATTTTGGCAACTCGATTGGACGGCAGATTGATTGTGATAGATCTCAACCCGCTTCTGGAGAGGTTCGAGAACGGTTGTTCCTGCAACCGGGCACTCACGAACGGGGCAGGCTATTTCCCAATCTGGTAATCTTGGTATGTAACGTCTCCTGATGACCATGACCTTGCTCATCCGCCTGTCCCCTGAACTGGCGCCAAAGTCGTTGCGCCATTAACGCGGCCATTATTGCTCAGCAAGCTTCCGCTGCGTCCTTCAGGAGTCAAGGGGAAGTTCCTAGGAGCGTTTGGACTCCAACCGTCTCTCCTCATGATGGACCTCTTGGACATTTCGCTCATGATTGGTCTAATATCAAGCCAGAATTTGAGTATTTTTGCCAATCACGATGAAGTCACTCGGCCTTTTCCCGTCCAGGCCCACATAGCCCGAATCTGGCCGTCAGCTCAATAGCCAATGAGGCACCAGAAGCCAGCTTTTTCCCAACCACACCTCAGCTCACCTCGGCCGCTAGCAAGGACTACAACCTTGCAAAAAGCCGTCTACAGGCTGTCATTGCTCGACGTTTACACCCTCGAGTCCTCGACCACCCTTTCTATATCTCCACAACGATGTTGGATCCCGTTCCATTAGGACGGACCAACCCCCATCGGCTCGGCGGCGATGCGAAGTTCAGAAGGGAGGAGGGCAATCCCACGCTTCCGGAAACGCTCTATACGCCAGTTCTCAGACGGAATAGCAACGCTGCCATTGCGGTACGCCGCGCCATCTGGTTTGATATCGCTGTCCAAGGCGGAGCCCGGCCGGGACTGTAGGCGGTTCAATTTAGTGTTGTTTCCCTAGCGGTTCTTCCTTTGGCTTCTTTGGCCGCTCCAATCATGGTCATGCCCTGAGTCTCGTGAAAGTCGAGCCGGCCCAACAACTGCGACCCTATTCTCCAAGGAGGTCTAAGTTGCATATGGAGAAGCCCAGTCGTGGTCAAATACAATGCTATGCGGGCTATTGGGTCTACCCGCCGTCGCGGCCGCGCCTGCGTCGTTTCAAAGGCGATCTGCTGCTAGAACCTACATGATGCAGGGCGAGACGCAGAAGCGTCCTCAGGCACATGCAAGTCATAAAGGTACTAATAATTGGTAGAAAGTGAGAAGCAGCGTCTGAACCACACGACTGGCCAAGACAGACAGGCCATTTTATGACGATTATCAGAAGACGCCTCATTCATCTCCGATGAGGTCTCAGCAAGGCCAAAGCAAGATTGACCATCACTAACGACCTCTATCGCCATGGCTGTCTTGGCCATGGCGTTGGCTCTGTGGGCTTGTCGAATGTAGTCATGCCTTATCCCTGGTCTAACTAACAAGATACGAGCCACGGTCTTTGGATCGTCAAAGGTGGACAGATACAGTCAGGTGCATAAGGGCAACCTCCTGACGGAACCTCAGGATAGTTTCCTAGCGTCAGACGAGTCGACATAGGCAGCTCGAATTTCTCACGCCTGCATGATTCAGTACTACCCATCCTAGGTAGCAAAAGGTCTGGACCTGCGCAGGCTGGTGTGCCCTTGAGCATGATATCACAAATGTATTCCAATCACGGCAGCCCTCGCGATGATTGTACGCCGAAGGCTCTACTCAAGCAGATCTGATACCTCGCAAAAAGAGCAAGGTGCATGATCAAGGAACATGCGAGCAGGTGAAAGATCACGATGGGTAACATTTGCAATATGATATATCGAAAATTGCTTATAGTGAGAAGGCCCGGCTCGGATGGTTTGAAATGACCGCGGAAGCGATCTAGACGGCCCCGGTGCAGACCCTGCGAAAGGGTGACCCGATCATGGGCACTTGTCAGACGAAGTGCTACATGGACCGTAGACGTCGAGGCTACGGCTCAGTCATACTTTCGTTCACCCCACTTCACTGAGCATCGGTTTGGAAAGAAACTGGCAGCTCTTCAACCAGGACGCACCCTGCATCTCAGCAGCCAGGGGTACGCTTTTCACAAGATACATGTGAAAGGAGGCGCTTGGGGTTGGTGGGTGCCGGCAAGCAAGGGTAGGCATTCTTTGAGACAGAAACATTCCTGACAAGCAGTGACAAGTCCCGATTGTTTCTTTTCTGTCAATCGGCTGTCCGGGAACTTAGGCAGTTGGGTTTGCGGCTTGTGCGACGGCAACGACAAGTCGGAGGTGTCTCTCGTCGGGCCTGTCTCTAGCCGGAGAGACACGGATTCAGATTCAAAATTCAGACTTTATGCGGACGAGTTTCTCGTGGGATTTATCAAATCAAGACAATTGGCCGTGGACTTTTGCGAACGCAACGGAGTACAGAGAGGGGGAAAGTACCGACCTGGTGAGAAGATACCAGTGGACCTCCATGGTATCCGTACAGTACTTCAACGACACACTCTTTTCAGTACGAGGGTACTTGGCCCGAGGGTGGCGGCAACCTGCGATTACAGGACTAGAACAACAGGCCCAGGAGCCCGGATTCCCTGTGTGTCCTCGATCGGCAAACAAAGGAATCTCAGGCAACAGATGCACCGCACAACGTATTCGTACGGAACGAGATATACAGGAAGCAAGATGCGGCTACCACGACGACTTACCTGCCTTGTCTGGAATGTGGACGGACGGCGTAGGAGGGTTGGTAACAAGGGTCGAGTTTAGGCTGCTTTTGCTGTCCCATACTTTCTTGTTGTTCGCACAGGCCACGGAGCTCAAGGACTAGGACAGCTTGCCTACTAGTGGGAACGCAACCCATGCGGACAGGTGTTCAAGCAAGAGGTCCGCCTGAAATGCCAGCTCGGGAGGCCACCTCGCGACCACATCACCGTATTTCACTTGGGTATGACGTCCGAGTCTCTTGATTACCTGAGGCACGCGATCTCTCGCCTTCCCTCGCCTTGCGAAAGACCTCTGTGGCGTGTACGAGGACGCGAAGCCTCTGAACGGGCCACGGACGACACCGACAAGTCACAGGTGCCTTATGCAGACCTGTGGAGAGGTACACACGGACACTGGACTGAAAAGAACGGACCAAGAATTCGGATTGGGATGGCTTCCACAGGTTCTTACAGAAGGCGGAGAGAAGTTGGAAGGGCGGCGATGGCTACAAGTGACCTTAGTCGGGCATGGCAGGGCATGGCATGGCAGCACGGCCAGGCCTACGCTTGCATCTGCACTGACATCGGTCATTCTCAGCTCGCTGCTGGGGATTTTGGGCTCTTTTGCGGGATCCGACGGTTCCCATTCGCCTGACCTCTCGGGTTCTGTCATTGAGCATATGCAGGTCGCAGCACAGCCCTGATCTTGTACGGCGGTCCCTACTATAATTTCTGGGGACCTTTTTTCGCCCTCCGTCAGTCTCTTCGCAAGTTTTTCGCCGCCGCCGCGCCGCCGTCGCTTTCGCTCGCTCGCTTCATGCAGAAGCGCATGCGCTGCGCTGCGCAGCTCGGCACGTAGTTTGTACAGACTACAGAGATCGGATACTCTTCTTTTTTTCCCACCCGTCTCTGAACCTTTTTTTAGAGTCTACATCGGTTTGGATCCAGAAAAAGCGAAAAGATTTACAATTTACTTCGCTGCTCATTGCCGTCAACCGAATCTGCCGCGATTTTCTGAACCGGGATCGGGGCCGAAGGAGGGTGGACGGCAAATTAGAGGGAGCAACCTATGCCCAATTCTTTTCACTATACTTTGGTTTACGGATATTTTGCCTGGGGCATACTGTATCAGTACGGGCCCCGAATCGATGCCGCAGTCTGTTCTGACCCAAAGACAGATCTACCAGAGCGTTTTGCGCCGTCTCCGGTGCCCCGTACCTAAGCCCATAGGAATCGCTCGTTTGCCTGTTTTTCGCCTTACCACGCCCGACCTAAGCAAGCCTTACCCGGGGGTCGAATAGATTGCCGAGCCTGGTTGTTCGTTGCGCTTTGTCACCTCTTCGCATCGTGTTGGCGCAACCTCGAGATTGTTGGAAGGATCTTCAAGACTTATCCCAGACTTTCTCTAGGTCGTCTTTGGAGGTTGTATTCCACAGCGTTGGGCCTATAGCGAAATGTGGCGCAGATGCAAAAGACGACGCACGCCTCAGACAACGCTTTTCAGAAGCCACGCTCTCTGAAGTTTGGAGAGTCTAAACCAAGATGGGAAACATATGTTTGTAAAATCTTGACCCAAGAGGAATAGCGCGAAAAGACAAAAACCACTCGAAGTCATTTTGTCGCTCGTAACGTTCCGACTCAACGGGCAGTCTGCCACCTCGCCTCAGTCAGCGGCACTTCACCACCACCAGCCAACATGACAACGTTTGGTTACATCGCTTTCACAACTCTCACAGAAGGGTGTTGCCAAAGGCGGCAGAGTAAAAACCAAAGACTGAAGGGGGGAGGGGGAAAGGTGCTGGCCCAAGCTTGCGGCGCACGCAGGCGACGGCATCCGAAGCATTCAGGGAATTCCTGGCTTGCCCTAGGCCACCTAGCCTAAGCTTGCCAACCTGCCAAACCTTGCTTCGGCTCACTAAGCTGTGTGGCTGCTTAGTTTATTGTGTACACGGGCACTCTGCAACTTGACATGGCCAGACTCACGACATCCGTGCAAACGCCAAATAGTGGGAGGGAGGTGTGGTGTTTAGCTGCCTCCTTGGCCCATGTACGTTACTTAGGGCCTGTCCGGAGCGGGAGTTACTGAGCCGAGGTGGGCTGGAAACTCACTACTGCGTTGTGAGGCCAAACGAATTTGGTTGACATGTTGGCAAAAGAAGATGAAGAGGGCATGAGTGGAATGGCGATGGCGAACGGACTGAACTCGAGAGGCCAACGACCAGCGCAGGTCCATGTTCGTTGGAGTCCTCCCATCGACCGACTTTGACGTGTCCTATTACTGGATATCGTTACTAGATCCGCCACGGGCTAGGATGCTCTACGAATATGCAGGTTGGCATGAAGAGGACGAGCATCAACGGCCCCAACGCCAACGCCAACCACGAAGCCAGCAAGCCTTGGTCTCCAGCTTCCAGCTCCCCCCGGCCGCCGCCGCCGGCCCTCAGCTCCATAGTATATCCGGTCATGGAGGTAACAGGGCCCCGTTGGGAGAGGAGAGGGAGAGGAGAGGGAGCAAGATGCATGGAGATCCGGGTGAGGCGAGGAGGAGACCTGGAAGCCGGCCCAAGATGCATGCACCGCGCACCGAGGCTACCTTAACCTGAGGCCTACTTGCGTAGCTACCTATATCCGTATGGATACAGAAAGAGCCAGTCATTCAGAGTACCTGATGCCTAGGGCCTGTCCTTGGATCAGACGCAAGTACGGTACTGGTCCATGGCTACCTTATACATGTACCTCTAGGAGGCGCCTACCTACTGTGTATAGCAAGTAGTCCCCGGCGCCATAGGGAGATCCGATGCTACTGCACAGCGCGCTGCGCTGCCCCCGCTGGCGTGCATCATCCAAGGATGATGGATTTTCTGCCTTCCTGTCTCTGCCAGCTAGGTACCAATTGTGGTAGTGTATTTTGAACTCGGAGCTCTAGGTTCTATGTAAGATCCGGAGCCTGAGAGATCTGGGTCTGACTCTCTGGTTCTGGCTCTCTCTTTCTCTCTCCACTTGCTCCTCAACTCGTACGGGGTGCAAAGAGCGAGGAGCAGGGAGTAGCTAGTGACAAGTTCGTAGTGGAGGTAACCTGCCACACCCCTCCCCTCCCCCCCCCCCCTCCCTCTCTGCTTGCGCCCTCTTCCCGCCTCCTGGACCATGGACCATGGGGATCGCCTGCCGAAAGCCCACCGGGCTGGTCGAGGCGAATGGGGAAGAGAGGGTACCAGTAGTCACCCAATACCTTTTTTTTTTTTTTTTTTTTCCTTTGGGGTGGGCGGGAGTGAGGTGCGCAAGGTGCAAAAAGAGAAGCAGTACCAATACTCCGTAGCGGGACAAGGTCTAATGGGGAAAAGACTCACTTTTGTGTACCTAGGTACTTGACCTAACCGCCAGACGCACCCCTGTCCCACGCATAAGTCCAAGTCCTCGGGTACTCGTCACCTCACCGTACCGCAGCCGCAGCAAGCACCACACCGGATGGGAGCGAGTTTACCACCCAACTCGTACCCCCATGACAGGCCTTGACTGCGCTGAACAGCAGTGAACACGACTGGGCAAGGAAGGTTGACCGCAGGCTCTTTCTCTCAGGTCCCGTCTCTCTCTCCAAGCCCCAGCCGGGCCCCAGGGCTGTCTCTTTCTCGGGCGATTATAACACCCCACCACCCTCGCACCACATCCTGTCTCTTCTCACCCTCCCTCTTCCTCTTC